AAAAAGAAAAAAAAAAAAAAAAATTTATGCAATTCAATGGAATGTAAAGAAATCAGGGGGGGAATCATTAAACCGAGAGAAAACAGTTATTAAGGGATTTATGTATTTCCTTTCCACCTTTTCTTTATGTGCATTTCTTAATGATGTTGAGACCATTCAATATGTGTTATTTTGTCTCTCTTTCTCTTTTGTCCTAATTCTTACATGAGAATTTCTCTTCTATTAAAACATCCTCTTGGCCAGGCATGGTGGCTCATGCCTGTAATGCCAGCACTTTGGGAGGCCGAGGCAGGCAGATCACCTGAAGTTGGGAGTTCGAGACCAGCTTGGCCATCATGTTGAAACCCCGTCTCTACTAAAATAGAGAAATTAGCCAGGTGTGGTGGCACATGCCTGTAGTCCTACCTACTTGGGAGGCTGAGGCAGAAGAATCGATTGAACCTGGGAGACAGAGGTTGCAGTGAGCCGAGATTGCACCACTGCATTCCCACATGGGCAACAGAGCGAGACTCTGTCTCAAAAAAAAATCCTCTTAAGCCTACTTTTAATGACCGTGTAGTATTCCATTATACATGCATGCTTCAAAACTTATTTAACCAACCCCTTTTGTTTGATGGTACAGCAGCTTCCTGTCCCTTGAATGTTCTAAAAAACAAGGGACCTGCCTTTTGGTTATATTTCATTTGTCTTGAGGCTACAGTCAGAACGAAGCATGTTTTTATTTTGTTTAGCAGCTTTTCTTATCTTTGGTATTTACTTCTCCAACTTAAAATCACTAGCGATTCTGATAGGAGAGGGGTAGGAATAGCAAGAAATGTTTCTTAAATGGAGCAGTGAACAAACTCCTCCTCAAATCAGGAACAAAGCAAGTATGTTTACCCTTACACGTCTGTTCTACATTTTACTGGGGGACTAGCCGGTGTGAGCACACAAAAAAGAAAAAAAAGGCATTCAGATTGGGAAGGAAGGAATATAACCCTTAACTCACAGATGACAGAATTCTCTATGTAGAAAATCATAAGAGATCCATCAAAAAATGCTAGAACAAATAACTGAGTTTAGTAAGATCAGGATAAAAGCTCAATATACAGAAAATGGTTGTATTTCTATATCCTAGGAACAAATAATCCAGAAATGAAATTAAGAAAACAGTCCAACTCCCAATAGCAACAGAAAGAATGACATGCTTAGAAATAAATTTAACAAAGGAAGTGCAGGATTTATACACTGAAACTACAAAACATTTTAATAAAATTAAAGAAGATCTAAATTAATGGAGAGACATTCCATACTTGTGGATTGAAAGACTCAATATTGTTAAAATAGAACTCCTCCCAGAATGAACCTGCATATTCAATACAATCTCTGTCAAAATCTTTTTTATAGGTTTTTTTATAGAAATTGACAAGCACATCCTAAAGTGTATGTAGAAATATAAAGGGCCCAGAACAGTCAAACACTTCTGAAAAAGAATGTTAGAGGAGCCATACTACCCATTTTCAAAACTCCCTACAAGGTACAGTAATCAGGATAACATGGTACTGACAAAAATAGGCATAGAGATCAGCAGAACAACATTGAGCACCCAGAAATAAAATCTTACAAAATGTTTGATCAGTTGATATTCCACAAAGGTGCCAAGACAATTCAATGGGAAAAGGATCGTCCTTTTTTTTTTTTTTGAGATGGAGTCTCGCTCTGTTGCCCAGGCTGGAGTGCAGTGGCACAATCTCGGCTCACTGCAACCTCCGCCTCCTGGGTCCAAGCGATTCTCCTGCCTCAGCCTCCTTTGTAGCTGGGATTACAGGCACCCACCACGAGGCCTGGCAAATTTTTTTTTTGTATTTTTAGTAGAGACAGGTTTCCCTATATGTTGCCCAGGTTGGTCCCGAACTTCTGACCTCAAATGATCCACCCACCTCGGCCTCCCAAAGTGCTGGGATTACAGGCGTGAGCCACTATGCCGGGCCGAAAAGGATAGTGTTTTAACAAACAGTTGGGACAGTCAGCTGTTGCATTAGTTTCCTGGAGCTGCATAGCAAAATACCACAGACTGCGTGGCTTACCACATCATTTATTTTCTCATAGTTCTGGAGGCTGGAAGTCTAGGCAGCCTCTCTTCTTGGTTTATAGATGAGATGGCTCTTCTCCCTGTGTCTTTACAAGGTCTGTTCTCTACCTATCTATGTCCTGATCTCCTCTTCCTATAAAGACACAGTTATATTGGATTAAGGCACATCCCTAATGACTTCATTTTACTTTAAATTACCTCTTTAAAGAGCCTGTCTCCAAATATTTTCACATTCTGGGGGATTAGGGGTTAGGACTTTAATGTATGAATGGGGATGGGGAGCAAAACAATATAGCCCACAACAGCTATACACAAAACAAATGAAGTTAGACAGTTATACCATGCATGAAAATCAACTCAAAGTGAATCATAACCCTAAATATAAGAGTTAAAACTGTAAAACTTCTAGAAGAAAACATAGAAGAAAGTTATCACAACCTTGAGTTGGGCACTTTTTAGCTATGACCCCAAAAGTGTGAGCCTTTAAAAAAAAAACTGATAAAAACTGAACTTAATTAAATGGCCTTATAGACTTCTATATCTCAAAAGGTACAACATTAACAAAATGGCCAGGCACAGTGACTCACACCTATAATTCCAGCTCTTTGGGAGGCCGAGGCAGACAGATCACTTGAGGTCAGGAGTTCAAGACCAGCCTGGCCAACATGGTGAAACCTCGTCTCTACTAAAAATACAAAAGTTAGTTGGGCACAGTGGCACATGCTTATAATCCCAGGCACTTGGGAAGCTGAGATGGAAGGACAGCTTGAGTCCAGGAGTTGGAGATTGCAGTGAGCCAAGATGTGGCACTGCACTCCAGCCTGTATAACAGAGTGAGACTCCATCTCAAAAAAAAGAAAAGAGTCACCTTGCCCAGCCGGGAAGTTCCAATTCATACCTTCCCCAGAATCTGTTGGCCCTCAGCCCAAATCAGCCTGTTTTACCTCTACCCTAGCCCACCTGACCTCTCTCCAGAGTCAGACTTTCCTTGCACCCAGGGCTTCACCAACTCCTAGACTTTTGATTTTGAAAAGGAAATTTAAAATCCGAGAGTAGTACAGGATAGCAGCAGCTGTCTGCATCTGCCTGATGCTTGGAATGGTACAGAGATAATTAATTCACCTGGACTAACCACAGGGACGAAACTGCTTATGTTAAATGAGCCATGTGGAAGTTACCACCCCCACTAGTAATGAAATGTAAGAAATGGAGCGGATATTTGGAGTTTTAGTTGGCCAGATTCCCTGGGCTCAGCTTCAAAGCAACTGCCCTCCTGGAGAGAGATGAAACGATCCCTTTCTTTTATAGACTACATAGGCTGTTACATGACATTTGGGTATCTGTCACTGACGTTGTGAACCGACTTAAGCCAGTTTGATCTATCACAACTAGCTTTATTTTAGTAGAAGTTGAAGGTCTCTAACAGATAGAGATAGATGAGGGCTATAGATGATATCGCAAAGCTAGCTACCAGGTGTACTTTGCAATGGAAGAAACTTTCTGCTTTACCAGACCTATTGTAAAGTTACAGTAATTAACATAGTACAGTATTAGCACAAGGGATAGACAAACCCTTGAAACAAATAGAAAACCCAGAAACAGGTCTGTGTGTATTTGGATATACACCGTGATACTGACAAAGGCAGCCTTGCAGATCATTCCTCAACAAATGGGTATCCACATGGGAAGAAAAAACAAAAAAGATAACTAACCCCTGCCTCACACCACACATGAAATCATTTCCAAGAAAATTAAAGACATAAATGTAAGAGGCAATGTTACAAAAGGTTTTAGGAGATAACATAGGAAAATATATTTATAATCTCTAGGTATAGGATTTCTAAAGATACAAAAAGCATACCAGGCACAAAAAGATTGATTTATTTGAATATATTAAATATAAGAACTTCTGTTCATCGAGAAAGACACAATGAAAATATGAGTCAGCTGAATGCTGCCATGCATACAAGCATTTATTATCAAGCTGCCTCATAAATAGTTACTCAAATTTTTCTGGAAGCTCCTTGAAATACCAGCTGTCTGTCTGATACCTCTTTGCATGAATGATTCCTCGAGGCAGATGTAGCCACGTTCTAGAGGCAGGATCAGCTCGTCCTAACCGTGATCTGACAGTAAAATCCTCAAGAAGACTCTGAACCCCAAATCCTAGACCCAGGGCCCCATTCTGAAGGAGATACAGTACTGGGCTCACCAGGTTCTGTTCATGCAAGGGCCAGAGTGTCTGAGAATATTTCTAGGATCATTTCACCAGTAGAAAAAAAAAATTCTTTCTCACAACAGTTAGGCTAATGAATAAGGGCCTAACTTCATTGATCCACTATGAAGACAGCTAGAGCCCTGAAGCAGACTTTTCTGAAATAAGGACTTCTAATTAGAGTCTTTCACTTATACCAGCGTTCATTCCCAATGAGGGGACTTCAGGTATTAACTAACCTTCATACAGTGTAGCTTAAATCTAACACACACACAAACATACACA